GACTGAGTCCCTTCTGATCAGTCTTCTTGTCGTTTTAGGGTACCCTCCCAGAGTATGGGCAAGCAGGGCAGGGGCTCAGGACAGGCCAAATTGAGAGCAGGTAGCAATGCACCTGACCTAGGAAGGGACCGAAACGCCCAGGTTAGCAAAGAGGTAGCATTCTGGGAAGACTGCACGAGGCTGAAAAAGAGACATCAGCTTGAGAAGTCATTCCAGGCTAAAAAACTGTTTTGCAACCATCCCAGGCCGGGTATGTTCACTGTAGTTTCAGGCAGCTTAAAAGAGAGCCCCTGGCAGCATCCCCACAGGTTTTGTAATAGTACACAGGGAAAACAGCCAGCAGGGAGACTGCAACTTGGCCCCCAAGAGTCTCTGGACGCTCCTGTCACTGCGCTTTCTCTGACATTCTCTTGTGGGCCCTTCCTCCCACGGCCGTTGCTTGTCCTCTCGTTGCCTGGCCATTCCTGAGTAACATCACCCTCCCAGCTCCAGCCTCCAGGCGCAGGTGTGCACACCCACGCACGCCCAGCCATGCTGCAGGTGCCCACAGTCAGGCCCCCGGGCCCAGGCCCCCACTCCCAAGCACCTCCTGCAACCAAGCTATGACCCCCACAGGTGATAGCCACAGAGGCCGGGGTGTAAAAGCCTGACCGATTCACTTACCCTACAGAACGGAAGGTACGATTGTGCGGGGGGAGGCTTTGCACTTACAGGGAATTGCTTGCTGGTCAGGGTTTGGCTGTGGTGGTCCACAGGCTGCCAGGGATGCTCAGAAACAGCCTCAAGTGTGATTTGTGTGTTGGCGGCCAGGGAAGCAGTGGGAGCAAAGCCCTGGCACCAGGCCCTCCTCGCAGGCCCTGGGTCCCAGGGATTGACCAAGCCAGACTAGCCAGGTTCAAGTTTGTCCTCTGCGGGAAGCAGGCAGGCTCTCATCTGTATACCTGCCACGACTGCTTACTCACTTGGAAAACCCTCCACCCAGAACTGCCAGCCTGAACCTCCTCCCAGCACGGGGTGCTCTCCAGCCTCACATGCCTCTTCTCACCCACCCGGCACCCTTACTGTTCTGTCTTCACCCTCTTGTGGCCGCCCACCACAAACCGAGACTCCAGGCCGTTTCTCCTGCAGTTGTATTGCCCGCGCCCTCCCAGGATGCCCAGTGGACTTGATCCCGACCTCACACCGCCTGTCCGTGGAGGCCGTCTATTCGCTGTGAGTGTCCTCAGAGAAAGAAATCCTTTAGCGACTGCGGAACCTGGGGACGAGGGAGAGGGGGGCTCCAGCACGTGGAGGTGGGCCGTGTTCTGTTGCTCTCAGTGTTCAGTTCATCCAATTAGGGATGTGCTCCTGAGCCCCCAGTGCCTGGCTGGTGCCCTCGGTCCCGGGATGCACACAGTGGGTGAGGGATGAGGGATGAGGGAGGGCCATGTCCTGGGGAAGTGTGTTCTGCAGGCGTTACACCTGCAGGCAGTAAGAAGACTGTCTTCTTACTGCGTGAGTGAAGAAGGTGCAGCACATCACCTGTTGGTTAGGGACAGAAAAGGGGGCACAGAGTGTGTCTCTGAGGCCATGGACTGGGCTTGGGCGATGAGGAAAGGCTTCTAGGAGGATGAAGAGGAAGAGGTAGAGGAGGAAGAGGAGGTGGAAATGATGGGGCAACTTACATCCTTTTGGATGAGCTCAGCATAAACTATGCAGGCAGCAGAGATTAGCTCATCAGCATCAAGGTCAATGAGGTTGTTGCAGGCCTGTGCAAGGGGGAAGGAAGCAGGTCTCCCAGGGCACAGGGCAAGAAGGCTGCTGCTCACCTCGCTCACGTGCACAGGCCGCCTGGTGTCGGCCCCACCTACCTGGCTCAGTGCCTGGAATTTCACCACTGGAATTTTACATTCTGGGGAGGTAGTACTATAGTTTTCATAAGGGCTCTAGGGACATACTGAGCATTCTAAGGAAGGCTTGTTTTGTAATTCAAATGCCAAGTAAGATTTTTTTTGAACAAGGATTTTTAACTACTACTTTAGTAATGCTGGAAAACTGTAGCCATAGGATAGGAGGACCCCTGTGCCAAGGAGTGAACGGTTAAGCCTGTTGGTTAGGAGCTGAGCAAGGCCTGTGTCCTTGTATGCGAATAGGGCATGATGGCTCCTCTGTGTGAGCCTATAAAAGCAGTCACAGATTAGCTCTGGGGCAAAAGGGGGGCTGAAGAGCAGCACCCCAGGAGCCGGTGGCCTTGGAAAGCATGGGGTGTGGGGTTGAGGGGGGCGGCCAGGTGGGTGCCCAGGTGGGTGCACTCACCAGGAGGATGTCGTCGCCGGTCATGCTTTCCTGCAGCACCTGCTCACGCACCATCTGCAGCATGCTGTAGGCCACCAGCACCTGGAAGTTCCTGCAGGGCTTCCCTGTCAGCAGAACCTGCAGGTGTGGGGGGAGCTAAGCCTGGTTCTGTTCACACCCCCTTGGAATGTGAGGTTCCCACCAACCAGAGGCCCGAGGCAGCCATCCTGAACCTTCCTACCGACCTGTTCACTCACATGCTTACAGGGACCTCTGGGGTTTCTAGGTATTGTGTTAGCTGCTAGGGAACTTCGAGAAGAAAACATTTAGGAATTCATTAGGTAGAGGGAGGGTGGAAGAAGGGAGCGAGAAGGTGAAAGAGGGAAGGCAGGAAGAAAGGAGGTGAAGGAGAGAGAGAAAGAGGAAAAAGTGGACTCAGTAACTAGTGTTTGAGTGGAGCCTTGGCAAAGCGAAGGCCAATGGAAATCAATAATCCGGGGGTGTCACCAAAGGCCTGGGTGTGGTGACTGGCAGGCCAGGAGGTAGGGGTGAGGTGTGTGGGAGTTGGCTTGTGGGGCACTAAATGACAGGCTAAAGTTAGGCTGGGTCCTATAGATAATGGTGACAGGACAGTGATGGGGCAGGGTGGTGGGGTGAGAGCCTGCATGTCTGGGGGAGGGTCACCTACTAATAGCCCCAGAACTGTAGGTACAGGTTGTCCTTCCCCTCCCTCCCTCCCTCCACTTCTCCAGGAGCGAGGGCCAGCAAGGAGTCAGCACTCTGGTGGACAGGAAGGCCCAGGAAGGGGCAGCAGGGGAGTGAGGCCTCTCAGGCAGTGCGGCAAAACTGCAGCCTTTGCTTGGCCAGCACTCCTCAGGGCCTGCTCCACCCTCACTGCTCCCCCACTGCCCTCAGAAGGCGCCACGTGCAGGGGTGGCATTGGAAGAGCTGATGGATGAAGATGCTCTAGCTTCCTTCAAAAAGGCAGGACCAGGTAGCTGGCCCAATAAACCCCAAGCTACTGAACTCTATTCAAAGTCAACAATAAAGAGGGGACAATGAAAAAGGCTTCTGGGCCATCTGCCTGAGGGTTGGGCCTCTCCTGACCCGCCCCACACCCAACTCCAGGGTAGAGTCTCACCTCCCAGAGCCTCCAGACATCATCAAAGGACTTGAAAGCACGCTGGAAGCAGAGGCAGAACCAAGGGAAGAGAGACTGCACAGCCCCTGCACCCTTCCCTTCTGTGGGGAGAGAAGTGGGGTGTCAGCCCGGAGGCTGTGGTCAGGGAGCACTCCTAATCAAGCAGAAACTCATGGGCGGGGATAAACAGCAGTGTGTGCAAACTCACGTGGGAAAAGCAGAATCCCTGGATGCCCCTCTTCCCCTCCCCTCAGAGCCTATCAGCACGTATTTTCAGCTGTCCGGACTCTAGCCCCATCCGGAGGCACCCTCCTCCCAGGGCCTGGCCCAAGGCTGCCTCCCCCAGGTCCTGGCCCCACCCCATGCCTGGCCTGGCTGCAGGTACACAGAGGCAGGAGGGGGTCCACTCACTGAGGTGCTCAGCAAACATGGGGTCCAGGAAATTGATCAGGTTATTGAGCATGTCCAGGTTCTTGCCCACACCGATGTTGATGACGCAGCTGTGCTCCTGCAAAAAGTGGGTGAGAGGGAGGGCCACAGTGTCCTCTCTGCTTAAAGGGTCCCAGAAAAACCAGCCTGGTTTCACCAACAGCCAGATTCTGGGGGCTTGTGGGGGCCCGGCTTTGGGTGCAATAGCTCTGTGTGCACCTGACTGTAAATATGTGCTCGTACAGGCATGCAGGAGACCAGTGTCTCTGTGTGTGTGTGTGTGTGTAGGTGGAGGTGTCTCAGCTGTGGTTCTGTGGTTCGCAGTGCAATGCGGTGAGCCCAGTCATTCCCCCACACCATACTATGGGTAAGGACTAATGACAAGGAAGAAGCTGTGAGCCCACTGTTGCAGGGATGGGCAGAGACATGATGGCGGGTCCTGGGTGGCCTCTCATGCATCATGAGAAAAGGCTTTCCAGCGAGGGTGCTCTAGGAAGCTGCCCCTGCAAGGTCCATCCTGGGAAAACCAAGTCCTGGGGCCCGGAGCGCAGGCCATGTTAAGGAGCAGCTAGAGTCATGACTGAAGACAAAGGTCTTAAATGCCTGGCTGTGTTTTTTGGTTTTTTGGTTTTTTTTTTAGAGGCTGTGGGGAGCCATAGAAGATTTGTAGGAGCAGAGCCATATTTTGGGAAGGGAATTCCAGAAGGGGTACCCTCGCTGTTTGACCAGCCATCAGCCATGTTTGTCAAGGTTTGATGAGAGCCTGACCTAAACCCTTGCTTTCCTCCCAACGCCCTTGTCTGCCTCCACTAGGTCCTCTCTGCTTTTCGCTTTCCTTTCCCAGGCTTCTCTAGCACCCAGGGGGCTATTTTAAGACTGCAACAAATGACTGCCTAATCTGAAGTTGTTTGAAAAAAATGGGTGGGGTCCCTTAGTTCAGTCCTTACCATTTTCTGCAGGAAGAACTGGAAAAGCCAGAAGGTCTCGTGGTCATGTTCCACCATTAGTTGGAAAAGCATCACCATCTCGTGGAAGCCCTGCTGGTACTCTGCAGTGGGAAGAGGCCAGTGAAGAGGGGCTGGAAGCAGAGTTTGGGCTGGGGTGGCTGGGGAAACTCCAGGGAGGAATGGAGAATTAGCCTTGCTGCATACCTGCCTGGGTGTTGCAGACATAACTCAGAAGCAGTATCTTCTCCAGCCTCTTCTTGTCAATAAGGACATTGCCCAGGGGGTCCTTGTCATAGAGTTTCTGGATGTCATATACTAGATTGGGAACAAGGGACAGGTGGCACCAGGTCACTTCTAACAGTCCCCAAGAGGGAAGGACCCAAGGTATCCTGGGGAGAGGTCTATGGAGGTATATCAACCCACCAGTGCCAACCCTCACTATACGCCTTCTGCCTGAGTTTCTTCCCATCTCCAAATCTTTCACCAGACCATACCATCTGCAGGAAAGCCGCCCCTCTCCAATTCAAATCCAGCCTAGGTCAAGGCCAAAGCAGGAAGAGAGGCAAACAAGCCAGCAGGAAGAGCATGTACCCAGGAAAGCACAATGTCCAGCATTTGGGGCACCCGGGAGAAACAGGTGGAAGTACTAACTAAGCCTAAGCTGGCTAAGGTCCAGGCACAAGTTAGGGTATCTCCCAGGAACCTGTACCATCCCCCGCTGGCCCTACCTGAGAAAGGGGGAGGGGTGGGCCCCAGGCCTCCCCTCTGCCCAGCCCTGTCTACCCCAGTCTGCTCACCAATGTTATTCCTTGTCTCTATGAAGTTCCGGTGCAAATTTTCCAAAAGAGGCTCAATCTTCTCGTACATCTGGCATAAGACCTCGTAGTTCTTCCTATGGAAGAGCTCCTAGCCTTAGGATACTTGTACAGGTGGGGTGTTGTGGGGATCTCAGGACTCCCAGCCTGGCACTCAGGTCCACAACTGCCTTGGATTATTCCCTCCAGGCCCTGTGTGCATCTTCCCCAACCTGGACGTAAATGGCAGAGATCCTGGGGGGAAGATGGCTGGTGTAGTGGTGGTGAGAAGGCTGCTGGGATCCAGCCCTTGTGTGCCAGTCTGTGGGTTGAGAAAGGCACTGGTTCCTTCCATGTGCAAGGCATGCTTCAGACACCGCAGGGGGTTCAGGGAAGAAGGCTGTCAGGCTGGGGTAGGCATCCCCCCGTACACACACCTGCTCACTACCACCCACCCCAGCCCTGACAGGACTGGAGTCTCCCACCTCCTTGTGCTGTCCACCGTGAGCCGCTCATCCTGGGAACTCTGCCACGAGTAGTAGCCTGTGAGGAACTTCCAGGCTTCCGCCCTCACGCAGGGGTGCAGACCCTGAGGTTGGGGTGGGAGGTAAGAGGCTGTGGGCCTCCCAGATGTCTTCTCAGGACCTGCCTGCCCTCTGCCTGCCCACACCACCACCCCCAGTGTCAAGGTTAGGCCAAGGGTGGCTTGGGGACCATACCCTCTCCAGGATGTTAACGCAAATGAAGTCTCGTGACTTGGCCAACTGACCGTTCTCATCGAAGAAGCCCTCCCATTCTGTCTTGTCAATGGGCGGCTTTCTCTTCACCTGGCAAGGACAGACACGAGTACTCTGTGAGGGACTGTTGGTTTTTCTTTTAAGTGTGAGTTTTAAGTGATATACTGTGGTTTTGACTTACTTCTAGAAACCTATCCTGAAAAAATGACTGAAAATATATAGAAAAAAGCTGTAGACTTAGAAATTTTCACTGCACATGGCTTACCAGAATGAAAAATGCAAGTCCTCCAATACTATGCAATGAGGGAATAGTTAAGCAGACTATAGTCTGTATATATTTCTGTATTGTGAGGCATTTAAAACAATGCTTACGAGGAATGAGTAATAATCCAGGAAAAATACAAATGTTAGGAAAAAACAGAATACAAAAGCATACATTCAGCTCTCCGTGGCCTGTCCTATCATAAGGAATAAAGAACTAGAACTGTGCTTTATTTCTCTGTTATATAGTAAATTAACAACTATTCTGCTAGAAAAGAAGTCTGAAAAAATACCCCCCCCCAAAAAAAACCTACCTAAAAATGAAACAGTATTCACTTTAAGAATGTTTTTTTTTCTTTTTCTTGTATTTTCAAACTTTTCTATAATAACATATTCTACTTTGATCTTGGTAAAAAGATAAAATAAGCATGAATTAAACATATTCATGAGCTCCATTGGACCTGTTCTAGAAGAGTAGAACAGGTCCTTGTAAGGAGTGATTTCTTGTTTAGATCAGGTATGTTGGAGGTAGGGGGTGTTGGGGGTGTGTGAGAGGTGGAGGGCATGGGGTGTGCTGGGGTATAGGGGAGCGTAGGTGTGTGTGTTGGGGTCTGTGAGGGTGTGTGTTAGGGAGATGTAGGGGGTGTTTGGGGTCTGGAAGGCAGGGAAGAAAGTGTGCTATATGCAAAGTAATTAGAAAAGCTCATCAGGCATAATTATGAGGACAAGTACTATTCTTATTGGAACAGGACAAGATTCCTCTAGAAATCTTATATTGGAGACAGGACCATCTTGAAATTGCCATCATAAAGAAGTGGGGGTGAACAGAGCTTGGCAGCGATTAGAACTGTCCCATACACTCCCAACTCCCATGACCCTAACCTGCATTGGCTCACATATGACCCAAATTTCAATTTGCAGAGGAGCCACCGAGATCTCCTTGAAATGCAGAATCTGAGTCTGTATGTCTGGGGCCCCAAGAGGGTGCATTTCTAATCAGCTCCAGGGGATGGCAGTGGCTGCTGGGGAATTAAAAGGTAGAACATCCCTGGAGATGAAAAGTATGAGCCCCAGCCCCACATTGGGGTGATTTCACTAGCTCCATGTTAGATAGGGACGGACTGGGAAAAACACTTTCACAACTCAGTCAGGCCCAATCTTCTGAACCAAAATAGGCACGTGGGCTCAAGAAGATGGGCCTAACCTTGGGCAGGAGTGCAGACTCGGCCCCTTCTGGCTTCTGCCCCTCCAGCCCCTGTCATGTTCTTGCACCCTGTCGTCAGTCAGCGGCTCAGCTCTTACAAGCACCACAGCTTCGCTGGGCATGTCCCGGGTCCTCCATTATAAACTGAATGCTGGTTCTTTAGGAATGCATTTCCATAAACATTCAGTCAATTGGTCCACTTCTACAATCAAGACAGCTGCAGTATTGATGGGGGTGGCACGGAATCTGTACATCAATTTGGGGAGAATTGATAACACTGTTCTGATCCATTGGCATGGTATATTTTTCCGTTGATTTGGGTCTCTCATTGAGACCCAAACAGCAATGTTTTATCATTTTCAGCATATAGATTCATCATCAACTGTGTCAAATTTCTCTCTAAATATCTCTTTTTGATACTATTGTAAAAGGTATTGTTTTTAAATGTTCAGCTGCCAATAGTTCATTGGTACTATGTGGAAAAATGGATTTTTATATATTGGTCTTGTGTCCTGCAACCTTACTAACATCATTTATTAGTCCTAGTAGCTTTTATGTGGATTCCCTAAAATCTATGTAGGTAAAGGGTCAGAATCTGACTCATGGGCCAGTTTTGTTTGTTTGTTTGTCTTCCTACTTATTTTTTCCCCAACACCCCCCTTACATCGTCTTTGGCCTTTTCTCTCTCCCCCTTAACCTCAGAAACCTCACTTCACTTAGTGCCAGCTAGTTTTTCAGAGCATTTGCTATGTGAATGTCCAATACTGGTCTTTGTCTTTCTGACTTGCTTTATTACACATAATTCTCTTGAATTCCTTCAGTTTTGCAGTAAATGGCAACATTTTGCATTTCCGTATAGCTGAATAATACTCCATTATATGGCTAGAACACATCTTGATCTAATCCTGTACTATCCCGTGGGCACTGAGGCTCAATCTGAAAGCTAGGCCCATTCATACAGGCGTCATCTGTGGCTTCTTTCAGGCTACGATGGCAAAATTAAGTTTTTGCAACAGAAGCTCTAAAGCATATGAAGCCTAAAATATTTATTATTTTATCTTTACAAAAAAATATGTGCCAGCCCAGAAACAGGTGATCATGTTTGTCTGCAAATAAAGGCAGTTCTTTCTTTCCAGGTTGGCTGCTGTTTTCTACTTGTTGTTTTTATGCACCAGCTAAAACCTCAAGGGCAATTTTGAATAAAAGCGGTGGCAGCAAACATGTTTCCTTCCCCCCCTCAACTCCAAATTTCGAGGTAAAGCATTAGGGCTATTTACAGTTTAGTTATGATGTTAACTGTTGGCTTTTTGTAGATGCTCTTAATCACATTGAGAGAGATTCCTTCCATTCCTTGTTGGCTGAGAATTTTTATCAGGAATAGATGCTGGATTTTTTTTTTTTCCAAATACAAAAGATGTTCTACATCTATTGAAATGACCACATGGTTTTTCTTTCTATAGTTTGTTAACATGGTAAATTACATTGAATGATTTTTGAATGTTAAATCAGCTTTGCATTCCTGGGACAAGCTCCACTTGGTGGTGATATATTATCCTCTTCATAAATCACAGTATAGTATCTGCTAAAATTTTATTCAGAAGTTCTGCATCCATGTTCATGAGAGATATTGGTCCATAATTTTCTTGGCTTGCAATGTCCTTGATTTCAGTAGTAGGCTAATGCTGACCTCATAGAAGCCCAAATAGCATAGAATGAGTGAAAAAGCATTCCTGCTTTTCAATTTTTTAGAAGAGTTCAGCTAATATTTTGCTTTGCAATGTTTAGCACAACTGGTGAAGCCATCTAGGCCTAGAGTTTTCTTTGTAGGAAGATAGTTAACTACAAATTCCCTTTGTTTTTATTACATTTAAAGATGAAATCAGAAGAAATTCTTTCATTTTTTACTTTAAAAGTTAGAAATTTTGGGCCCTCCCTGGTGGCGCAGCAGGTTATAGAACCGTACTAAGAAGCTTAAACCACTTCCACATGAGTTCGATCCCCCGCTGCCCCGGAGGAAATCCACATGGCATGGCAGACCTCTCCTGACCCGCCCGCTGCTCCCCTCAGCAGTGTACTTCATCGATCTGCCTGTTCTGCTCCCCACTCTGCCCCTGGTGATTCCTCTCACCCTCCGCATCTCTGGCCTGTACCCCAGTTCTGTACGAATAAACAAATAAATCTTAAAAAAAAAAGTTAGAAATTTTAGGAACAGGACATTTTCCTTCTAACTCACTTTAAAAAATTAAAAGTCAATAATACAAAAACAAGGAATTAACAAGAGTGCAACTAGCATTAAAATGACAGAAACCTATAGAAATCAGCTATGAAAATAAATGCACTAAGTTATCTTATTAGTTGTGAACCCTGAAAAAAGCACTGATGATGTGCCAGACACTGTTTTAAACACTTGAAAGAGATCGGTTTGCTGAGCCTTCATCACTGATAAGCCAGATGAACCCATCAGGGTGTATAGCTCAGAGAACTTAGCCTGGAAGAGGGTTAATTAATGCTGATGTCACACAGCAGATCTGAATACAGAGCTGTTTGGTATCAGAATCCCATACTTAACCCTAAGCCATGCCACCAGAGTGGGCAAAAGGCAAGGTTGAATTTTTAAAAAAAGTTTTACATCTGTGCAAGATGTTAACAAATGCTATACCTTAAAACTGAACATCATGGAAAGCTCAGAAATAAAGGATGAACAAAGATATAACTGCCATCACAGTAGTATCAAGGTAGTCAGAGAAATATCCCCAGCACATAATAGAAGCTCTGACCCAGCGCAGTCAAGGCAGAGGTGACTTGAGACCTCACAGGAAAGCCTCTGCCTAGTGTGAGGGGACTTTGCCTCACTAAACCTCTGCCTGCAGTAGTGGGCCATCTGCCTAGCTTGCCAGGGCTAGATTTGGTTATAAATCCACTCAGGAATCTCCAGTTCTTTGCCAACAATTTCCTGTATTTCCCCAAACCTAAGCAAACTACAGACCCTCAGACCCCAAGGCCATCTAAGACAGTTGCTAACAAGCCAGGACACACACACACACACACACACACACACAACGACTGACTTGCAGAGGGCTAGAGGAGATGCTTCCACATAGAATTCCTTTCCGTCCCTCCCAGCACATCCCCACCACCCATCCATGCCAGAAATCACAGAATCGCTATTTGGGGTCCTTCAGAGTACTAATGATGCTCCAAGCAAAGGCCTCCCAAATCCATCTTCAGATTCCTCTATTCCTCCATTCTTCGTTCCAGCAACCTATAACACTCAGCTCCCCCACCTGGTACAAGGCCCTGGAAATGCAGGTTGGGAGCTACATGTTCCCAGAGGTGCCAGATCCCTTCAGCCCCGCAGTAGCTCCTTCCTCCTCCTTCCTCCTGGGCTGAGTGCTGCTAGGTAGGGCAGTTGAGGCCCTCTTCCACCTAAGCAGGGGTAAGCTCTCCACCAGCAAAGTCGGGGAGCCCTTGGCCCTGCTTCCCCTGGAGAAGGGAGCCAGAAGTGGAAGCACTTAGTCCTTCTAATAGCATCCTACTGCCAAGAGGCCCTGGCTGCTGGCATACAGAACATAGCATGAGTGCCCTGAGTAGGGCCTGGGGAAGCTCGTTGACTCTGCTTAAGGTTCTCTACTTCTTTCCATTGCAGTTCACCTGAGGGACAGGACACCCCTGATAGCGGCTCACCTCTCTCAAGGTGGGGAAAGGGGCGGCCCAAGGAGAACTAGCATATCAAAATCAGGAAGGGTCATATGTGTGACCTGAAAGTTATCTGGGATCATAATCAACACAAGTGTGGAGGGTGTATCATTAGCATGGCATACTGAGTAAAACAGTAGTGATTAAATAAAGGTCCCCGCAGTTTGTAGCACATCAGAATCCCCTGTAGAGATTGTTCAAACACAGATCTCTGAGCCCACCACTACAGTTTCTGTTCAGAAATTCTAGAGCCCCCCAGAATCTGCATTTCTTGAAAGTTCCCAGTTAGTGCTAGTGCTGCCAATTCAGGCACTGATACTCACTGACTTAGATGGACTCCTAGCCCATCTGCCTGGGTCTGAATACCAATTCTGCCTCATAGAGCTGTGTGACTGTGGGCAAGTTACTTAGTCTCTGTGCCTCAATGTTCTCATTTGTAAAGTGAAGATAGGAAATAGTGTCATCTACCTCTTAAGAACATGATGAGAATAATAACTATAAAATGTTTAGATGGGTCAGTAATAATAAATGCTATGTGATAGCTATTTTATTATCCTTTTCTAAATTCAGGGAAATAAACTATACAGAAAATTAAAATCAAGACCTGGTGATAATCTGCAATGAAGCAGTAACATTTAAATTAAGGAGAGAGGTACCCATTTTACTTTTCTGCTTTTTTCAATATATCACTCTCTTAATCACTATGATTAGTAAGACTTGAGATTGGTTAAGGTCTTTGTAATTAGTTATTATGATTTTGAAAAATATACTGTGTGGAAAATTTTTATGACAAAGGCTGACTTCTAATGAATATCTCTTATTAACTATGCTTGGAACCACCTACTAACAAAAGCATTACTGCCACCTGGTGGCAGCATACCAAAATTGTTGGCAAAAGCTTTAAGGAAAATTGTCCAGCACCTTCAAACTGAACAAGCAAACACAAAGCTCATGAAGGTTAGTGCCACATGTGGGGAAAAAAAGATAACGCTGGCTTACAGAGAAAGGTGTAAGAGAATTTGTAATTCTCAACTCTGTTGCTGGCGCTGATGCTGAAACCAAAGTACAACCCTGCTCCACCTTCTAGGTTAGCTCAGGGTTCTAGTTCTGCTCTCCCAACAGGGGCAGTTGGCCCCAAGGAAAACCAGAGACTGGGGAAGGAGGGGTTCAGAACTGATGAAAGACACGCACCAGGATGAAGGAGGCTGATTGCCTGGCGGAGAGGCTGTTTTCAGGAGAGAGGGTGGTCATGGTCCCCTCTGGCTGTCTTCAAAGAGGCTTCTGAACGGAGCTGACTTGGAGATTAAATGATGCTCAGTTATCAGGGGAAGGTGATCTTCCTTTTGGGGATGAGTTACATTCCCAGAGGAACTGGGTCTCTCCTGACCTCCCACACTTGAACAGAGCCTGCCAGTTGTGTGTCACAGGCCTGGAGCTCTCATCACAATGGCCTTGGAATCTGGGAGCACACCATTTTAGAGGAACCCAGGGGGCTAACCCTGCTAGTTACCCAGAAAAGTTATAGTACTTACGGGATGTGCGGTGGAGGGTGGGGGGCAGAGAACATGCAGGCCAGTGTATGAGCTGATACGGGAGGACTTCTGGGAGAGGGGCCAGGAAGACTTTCTCTCTGGTTCTCCCCTCTTTGGACCCTGTTCACTCGTCCCCAAAGTGAAGAACACCTGGAATCTGCGCTGTAGGTTTCCTGGGTCCTACTTCCAGATATTTAAAATCAGTCTCTGACTGAGACCATAGGTGCTGTATTTTGAAAAGCAACCTGGGTGACTCAGATTCAGTATTTAAATGGCAGCTTCTGGCGGTAGAGACCAGTTTTATTTATTTTTGTATCCAGAGCACTCAGGGCCTAAGTGAATGAATGCATGATTTAGCTGAATGGAAGAATAAGCAAAGCTCCCAGGTCCCTCCCCATCATCCTGAAATCCCAGGGCAGGGATTTCTGCCCATGCCCTGTCTCCCTCTCACCCTGAATTCCTTCAGGAGAGGGCAATACCCCATTCTTTTGTGCTTTTGCTTCCCAGGGCCAACCCTGCCTCCCAGCACTTGGTAGGGACTCGGTATTTGCTGAATGTGGAGTTGGCTCCTCTGGCCCCAGCTCCCAGTTCTCCACCTTAAGCATCCCTTGCCTTTCCACTCAGGTCCCAGCCCATAAAGCCATCTGGCTCGAAAGCACCCTTAGTCATTAGGAAATGATAGCAATTAGACCACCCCATTTGGAATCAGGAGCTTGGCTCTTGGGATTTGGACTCTGACCTCAAATTTGGATGTTCCGCTCCCCCCCACCCCTTCTGAACCATGGATTCCCCAGCCGTGAAGTAAAAATATAGTCCACCCCTGGCTTTTCCATCCTTATTAGCATAATTAATCAGCGCCCATAAGGAAGTCTTCAGTGGGCAGCTTCATTTTCTCATTTACTGTTACAGTTCTGCTTGCTGGTGGCACTGCAGGAGGCTTTTAAATCAAAAATGTCTTATTCTCTGCCTCCCTCCCCAACTCCTGTCTAGCCTAGGAACGCATTACAGCCTCTTCCCCTTAAACTCTGCCCCTAGGTCCTTATGGAGCAAGAGGTGGGTGGCTTTGAGTAGGGGAAGGGTGGATTAAAGATGGACAGCCTCCCACTGCCAGGCGCCTTCACTCTGAGGTCGCAAAGAAGCATCCCAAGCAACTGTCCAGAGCTGGAAGCCTGGTGTGGGTGCTACTCGCCATTTGGGATTATCTATGCCTCTGCTCCTCCACATTAACGACATCAACAACTGAGAATGAACTGCAGCATTTCCCTAAGAAGGATCAGGCAGGGAGTTGGAAAATCTGAGCACTAAATCCAATGCAGCTTCTAAAATGAGCAGGGCGGACATAGATCATCAGCTGAACTTCTTTTCACCTCGGGCTCCCTATCTGCAAATTGTAGATAATAACTGTTGCCCAAATTAGCCAATACAGTTGGGTCATATCACAAAAGCCTCATAGCAACCAAATAGCAGCTTAATATTCGAGCAGAATTGCTGGACACGGCACAGAAGCAAGGATTTTTGATCCCTTTTCCTCCTTTTCCTGATCCTTACAAAGGATTTGCATGTGTCAATCTTATTTTTCCAGGGCTGAGTGGCCCTTCCCATGTCCATGTATATACATAATTGCCCAAATTCCTTAGATTTCCCTGTGCTCTGCCGTGATAAGAGGCCAGGCTTTTTCTTTTGTTTGTTTTGTTTGAAATTTCTGTACATAGGGATTTTCGGAACACAAGAATCCTAGATTTTAAATTATTGTTTTTGGTCTTGGAGTGTGGACAAGAGTGACAAGAGATCTAGAATATGTGTGAAAGAAATCCCAGGTAGGAGAAAACCCCCTCGTTCCTCTGGCACTCTGGCTGTCCACGGCTGTGCTGTGAGGGGGAGGGTTGACCTGGAAGGTGACTGGGAGGACCCTCCAGTGTTGGGAAACACGTGCTGCCCTGAGAAAGCTCGTGGGCCAGGTGCCAGGAAAACTCAAGCTCAGATCCTTACCTGGCCACCCACTACCCACCATGGACCCTGTTCCCCTCTGTGGGACAGGGTCGCCTGCTCGCTGTCTCCCCCTCTGCTGCTGCCTACGAGCGTAGGCCTGGAGCACACCTGTAACCGAGAGAGAAGGAGCGCACACAGCCTGCACAGGACCTCGCCCCTCGTGTGGGACGCGTGGGACGTGTGGGATGTCTCTCCTTGGTTCAGATTCACTTGCACTCCTGTGTTCCGTTGAAGTGTCTGCGCCAGGGCACCAGGGCCAACTCCACTGCTGTCTGTTCCCTGGGAGGAAGGAGGCCTTGCGCGCCACGAGGGGTGGGTGCCCACCCTCAGCCTGCGTCAGCTGTGCTTCCCTCCGGTGCCTGCCTGAGTCGTGTCTTTCTTGGTGACCCTGACACCTGCAAACCGTGGAGTGGGTTGCCACCCTAGGGCGTTGCGCCCGGTGGCAAGCATTGCTCTGCTGTTTGCTCTCATCAGGCACCGGGACTCCTCCTGTGGAGGTGAAAACAGGTGTTATTTGCTTGACACCATTTCACCCTTGCTGAATTTCAGTGTCCTCCTGTGTGCCAATGGGGGAGGAGGACACGGCAGGAGAGAGGAGGTGAAGCAGTGTCTGTAAAGTGCCTGGGACAGGCCTGGAGCCTGGGGGCAGCCAGTCAGGGGACTTTCACTAACCTCAGCATTGCCGTTATCATTACAAAGTCCTGAAATCTCTATGAACCAGACCCGCGTCAAGATGTGTCTGCTTCTACAAGGCTTGTAGTAACATCAGTGCAGAAGTTCAAAGATCCCAAGAACCAGACAGCTTCTGTTTCTCTGCATTTCTCCAGGCACCTAAGGACTGGGATTCCTACAAATGTGGGGGAGGCCAGGATTGGAAATCGAGTTCACTCCAGTTCTCTTCATGTCAGCGTGACAAGGCACAACTCTGAAAGGCCACGAAGCTGTGACCCTGCCATAGTTATCTGCTAGCCCCTTCAAAGGACACCCGCCCATGGCTGGCTATGCCTGGGGTACTCTAGTTCTCGGTGTAAACCACATGCATTCTGATTTCATCTCACTGCTACATGCCAACGACCTTTCCTGTTAAAGCTGTGCTTTTCTTTTTGCCCCTCATCGTGGGGAACCAGGATAAGTTTAGATTTTCAGCAGCAGCTTTTCTGGCCTCGCCCCCACGAAGCACAGTATTTCTGACAAGACTGGAGACAGCTGCACATCATGTGTCACAAGCAGAGGATGGGGCCTGGGGGTGGAGACAGCGCCCCTCCTGGCAGAGGTGGCTGGAATTCCCTGGAGTGATAGCGGCCCTGCGGCCTAAGAGTCCCCCCCCAAAGCCAAGGGGCTGCTGGCTGCACTTTGGATCATCTCCATGGCCTTAGGGATCACTCACTTGCTCCACACTTCCCCTCAATCAGTTGAAGGTGACAGCTCTGCCATGTGCACCCACAATGACACATAGGGACAACTCACCACAGTCATAGGCCAGGCTGTTTGGTTCTGAAGGAGTCCTGCTCCTTGCTTGGATGTTGAGGGTCCTCATCATGGTTCCCCCTCTGCCCTGACCCCCAGCACAGGCTTCTAGGACACCATGAAGGACACAGCTCTGACTCTCAGTGAGCTCAGACTATGTCTTTCTCGCTGCTGTGCCCACTGTTCACTCGACCCCCTCTCGTCCCTGACACCCCAATCACTGGTGCCTTTTATAGGGTACTTGATTTTTCCTCAGGTGAGGTGCTTTACACATATCAGTGCCAACCTGACCACCTGGTGAGGGCAAGAGCTCAGGAGGTTGTTTCTTGCTTGGGGTCGCCCAGCGAGCAAGTAAGGAAACCTCCTTGGCTCAGCCACCAGCCGAGTCATCCCTGCCTTCCTCCTCTGCTGGCACAATTGATGACCAATTGGTCATCTCTGAACCTCTTGCTGGCTCAGAGGACTGTGATCCCGCAGCCCAGTGGGAAGAAGGGAGTTTGTTATAACTCCTTCTCCAGATTTCAAAGTAGTTACTCAGTCCAAAACCAGAGTGTGTGGTGATGGCTGGGGGAGGAAGTGAGGAAGTGTTACAACCCGGCTTATAAAGAGGATGGAAAGAGTGAAATGGAGAGGAAAAAGGACCAGAAATTCCAGCACACTCCAGGGACTGCTAATGGAGAGAAATAATGTGGCTAATTACACCTCTGAAGGCTATCTGTTCCAAAATGAATTTTTAATGAAAAAATAATGCATTTTCCTTGCAACTTAAATCTGAGCAAGGAGGGAATGAGCAGGTTCCCCGCGCAGGCAGGGGCAGCTTGTGTCGGGTGCCTCTGACCACTTTACCTGAGTCCTTCCCCCGAGTCTTCATCCCTAGGGTGCCCACAAAGCAGGTCTCCCCAGGAAGTCCTAAGACTTGGTTACCACGGTTACTGGTCACTAAGCACAGCAGTGCGGACTAAGGCCTACACTCTGCACATCTAAGGTCTTTAGCCCTCCCCTGCAGAGCTCAGGGGATGGGCAGGTTTCTCTCCAACAGCTCTGGGTGCCTTTTTGGTGAGGACTGGGTTATTTTTTCTGCCCACCTCCCCCTTTCCACCTGGGAATCATGGGTCTTAAATACAGGGGTATAAAGGCAAGCTCCCTCTGTAAAATGAAGACTCATCTTTAACAAACCAAACCATCTGTAAGTATGGTTTTGGAAGAAACAAGCCCTATTTTCCCCTCTTTCTAGTGTTATCTATAGAGCAGAATAGGGGAAGGGAAGCGTAAGGTTAGAGGCAGTACCCAGTCTTACTCCTCGCAGTTAATGTGACCTAGGGTAAGTCATTGTTTTTCCTAGATTGGGTATCCTTAACTATAAAATGGGCTAACCATATCTACTTCATAGTATATTTGAGGTTTATGGCCTGTAAAAAGTATTTAGCACAGTGTTTGATCCAGTCCAACCAGCTGTTTGTGTCCTTGCCATTTGCTCCAGAGGACAGCCTGATGAGCCTTGAGCCACCCTGTACACATACACAAGAAACGCTCCTGGGGTTCCCCAGCCTCAGTCAGACCCCCTTGCCTGCTGGGTCTTTCTAGTCAGGTGCAGCAGGGACAGCTCTGATCACCAAGATTGCTGCTGACCCTTGATCTCAGAGGGGCTGGCTGGTCAAGACCCAGCTTACCCTCCAATACGGAAAAGGAAGCAAGGAAGGGCCAACAAGAGGCTCCTCCAGGCAAGCAGAAGTGACCACAGAGCACAAGAGCTCAACGTGCTAAGCCCACATTGCTCTTGGGCACGTCTATCACCACTCTGAAGCCACGCCTTCACCCCTCAATGGGATTGTACCCCCACCACACATTCTCCTACAGCAAAGTTCCAAAGTTCCCCCTCAAATTTAGGAGTACACAAGCATCCCTAAGGTGCAGGATCACATGCTTTTGTATTTACTCTTCAACATCTTCAGACCCAACAAGTATGCAGCAAACAACCCCACAATATGTGCAAATACACACATCACATGCCACAGCATACACACACCTTCATGTTCCAAGCCCAGCACAAAATCAGCCCAGGAACCTCATTTCTGAGTGCAAAAAGTATGCACTTTGAAATGAGCACTATGAAGTACATGTGTGTGCATTTGCACATACAAACACACCCATGCCCACATGGCCAGCACCGGGGCGGGGTGCCAGGGAGGTCCTCTGGGCCTTGTCCTGTTGGCATCACTCATAGATGGTTCCCCAGAGAAAGCCTAAGCTCAGAAGGCCCCTGAGGGCAGTGGACTGTGGGCCCAGGGCTGACCCAGGGATTTGCTGGAGGGCAGAGTTCAGTGAGGAGCAGGCACAGTAGGAGGACCCTAAGTGATCAACACACTGGGGTGACTGACGCACTGAGCTGGGGCCGGGGAGTGAAGGAAGATGCTGTAGATTGGCATAGGCTTCTCCACCTGGGGGCAGAAAAGAGGCTCCTAACACACCTGGCAGAAGCAGGGAAACCAGAATACCATTGACCTTGAGCAACGTGTTCAAACAGTGAAGGTCCATTTATTTGTGGGCTGTTTTCAATAAACACAGTTGGCCTTCCTTACCCTTGGCTTCTCCTTCCCAGGCTCACCCAGCCATGGTTGCAGGTTGGCGGCATCTTAGGGTGCAGAAACCTCTGACACAAAGCGCTGACCACAGAGGACTTGAGCATCACAAATTTTGCTGGGGGGAAAAGAGGAGGAGGGTACTGAAATCAACCCGTAGATCTCAAGGGACAACTGTAGTTAAGTTTGGGAGGAGTCAGGTGTTCCATGGATTTTATTGTGCATGAGTTGGCATGCCCAGCCCCAGTGTTATTCAAGGCTCAGCTGTATTTCTTTCCTGCCTCATACCCTGAACTTTCTGTCTTCTGGGGCTATTCTGTCCTCCTAATCCTGGGACATCTGGCCCTGACCTGATGAATAGGTCCATGAGTGTTCTGGAGACCAGCCGCAGGAGAGGTTCTTACTAACTCTGTGTCTGAAACGTGTCCTCTCCAAGTGCGGGAGGAGCCACACCCATAGAGGGCGGGCCAGCATTCAGGGCAGGAGCAGCTCCCTGACCCTAGCGGGAACTCACAAAGCCGGCCATAAGCACACAACACCTGGAGGCAGAAGGTCCCACATTCCTCCCCACAGCCTCTCTGCCTCTGTCCATGCCCCTGTCTTCTTGCCCCAGCCTTTCAACAGCAGAGTAATTCTGGATTTCTGCAGGCCTTGAGCAAGATGGGGAACTCATTGTCATAGGAATTGTTCCTGCTTCTCCTGAATGGAGCCCAGAACCCAGAGAACTATTCCACTGGCAACACAGTTCTTTCCACTAACAGGATTGTGCAGAAGAACACGTGGCCAAGAACTTGAAGCCAGCCAGGCCTATGGGGCCAATTCTTCTATGACAGGATCTGGGAGAGACAGTTCTGTAACCTGACTCCACATTGAACATGGGGCCTGGCCATAGGTTGGACTTGATCACAGAGTTTTAAAATGAATCTGAAAAACATTAACAGCACCTCTACTTCATTGATAGAGAAATGGAGCTTCAGAGAGGGGCAATAGCTTGCTCAAGGTCACACAACAAGACAAGGGCAGACCTGTAACTAGAATCCAGTCTCCTGCCTCCTGGCTCAGGATCTTTAGATCTCAGTTAACGGTGATGTTTGAAAGTCAGGCTTTGAAGAAAATAGAGGAAGTGCCCAGGAGAGAGGAGAACATTTACAAAGTCTGATGCAGGGGTTGTGGAAGTTCTTCTGTTCTGGGGCACAGTCTTATTTTTCTTTCCCCTCTGTCCTTCTGAGGTCAGGCTAGGTGAAGGCCCCAAAGTGGCAAGTTCTCATCCCCCTCATCCTGGCAGTGGACGGGGGTTGGGGGGGGATAGTGGGGAGGCAAGCCTGGTTGGAGCATGTCTCCTCTGTTTCTGTCTTCTCTCAGAGTAGCAGTAGCAGCAGAAGCTGCAGCACAAGCACGTGGTGCTACTTCGCAGAGAGGCTGAGATAAGAAGGAGGATTGATCTTCCTGCTGTTTCAAAGAGAATGAAGCCGTCCCTGTCATGGCTGTTGATCAAAGTCTCTGCAAAGGATGTTTTATGTGTCCTCCGCTGCCTCTTGAGCCCCACTCCTTGCCACGTGAGGCCTTTCTCCAGACCTTGCTACAAACTAGAGACACCCCTTCTAGCCAGGGCCCCAGAGAGCTAGCAGGGGCTAGGGTTCAAATTCCCACCAGCCTTTTCTCTAGGCAACTCAGCCCAAGGTCATGTACAGATACCCTCATTGTATAGATGGGAAATTTTGGCATAGGAGGCTGGTAACTTGTCCAGAGTCACAAGTGTGTTAACCCTGAGAGACCCCAATTCTCAGGGGGTCACATGGTGTTTGTCCTCAGAAAGTCTCCTGTATGATGGCAGAGGCATGCTTTTCCCTCTGGAGCTACCGGTTCACCTGGCATGTGTGACCCCAGAAGGACTGTTTAAATGTTCTCTGTGAAAAGGAAAGGATAGGTCCTGCTTCTTAAAAATGTCTCATTCCTGGCGTCTGTAAAAATCCAGATGCTCTCATTTCATTTGGCCTTTCTGGTGGGACAGAATGCAGATTTTCCCTGCAGCCCCTTCCCTCCCGCTGCCAAACCACACTCAATTCCATCATTCTGCAAATAGTATAAAAACAAAAACAAAAACCTGAAATCCGGTTCATTAAATACAGTGCAAATTCCAAATTCTTCCAACTGGCATTCAAGGCTGTAGGACACCTTCACAGTTAAGAGTGTGGGTTCCTGGACCAAACTTCTTGGGCCATTATGCCAGCTTGCCTCATCCGCCTGGCCCTCTGACCTGTGGATTGTTTAGAGGTATATGACTTCATTCCCAGAATCTAGGGTGCAGGAAGGGGTGGGGTGGGAGGGTTTCCAGATAACTTCTGTTACTCATTTCTAGTTTAATTCCACTATGGTCAGAGAACATACTTTGTGATTTAAATTCTTTTACATTTGGGAAGGTTTGTTTTATGACCCGGAATTTGATCTTTACCAAATGATACACTAGTAATGAAAGAATGTGCATTGCTATTGG